AGTAGGAGTTGAAAAACCGAACCTTTTGACGGTAAGGTCAACGATATTTTAAGAAAACAAATAGCTTTTAAAGTATCTACTGTCGCCTGTTATTGCAATACATAATATTTAACGAGATAATACACTGTATATTGGTGCAAAACTTCAGATCGGTCGCAACCGTTCCACGTGCTGATAATAATAACCCAGATCTATGCCACGTGAAGATTTTGATGATTTTCGCGATGAAAGACGAACCAATAAATGTTAAGTATAAGAAATTGAAAGAGAAAAAACAATGTAATACATGTATAAGGATTTTTATCATTTTTTTCAAGAACTGTATTTTTCTACAAACTTGCGATCATACCGAGTTTCTTTTTACTTTATACTCTCCTATGCGGGGGAGACTTCCTTTAAAAAAATTGTAAAATCATAAACAAGCATGTGATTAATATTGACATAAATGCATTAGGGACACTCTTTACACTGAGACTGAGGAAAAATATTTTTTGGACTTTGAGAAAATTTTATAGCGTAAAAAAGGATATTTTGAAATTAACAAATTCATTTTTAATATAAGGAGCGTGCATTTTTATCAAGGAAAAATCTTCAAAGATAATGAAATTATAATAAAGAAAATTCGCTTTTGATTGCTCAAACGGAAAAAAAAACATGCAAATAAAGTTCTCCACTACTCAATCTTGGTCTCATATAATGATTAAAATGCTTGTATTTATTCTTATTTATGTCATTTGGTACAGATAACAATTTATTCCCTGTTTATGTCAAATGCCGGGTCAGTCTACAACTACACAAAAGTACCCTGAAATAAGAGTGTAGAGAGGGTTCTTAAATCATTTCCTTCCTTGAAAAAATCGATTCATTTTTTTTTTTTCAACCCAAATGTCATGTTATCTTGTCTTGCTGTTCTAAATTTAGAGATTTCTCCTTGTGTAAAGATTTTTTTACGATATTTAAATAAAACTTGGTTTGCATTTCCTTTTTAAAAGAAAAACCAACAGAGTGAAAAAGGAACTTAACTATTCAAATACATCCAATCAAAATGGTTAATCTTATCTTTTGCACATGACATGGATAGAAACAAACTAGATGTACCTTAGAGAATAAACCTAAGTCAGAGCAAGCAAAAAAAAAAAAAAAAAAAAAAAAAAAAAAAAAAAAAAAAAAGGAAAAAAAAGACGTGTTGGATGCCCGTTGTCAATTTATAAAATATTTATAATACATATATAATATGTACCTTCATTTGGGTCTTGAGGGAGATAAATCAGAAAAGAAATATCTGTTCTTGTAAATCTGATGATTAAGAAAGGAATAAATAGATATAGAAAAAATAATTTGGCCTTAATGATATACAAATAAAATAGAAGGAGATGCACACTTTAAGTCTCTAAGTCAGCCTAAAATAAACTCTACCCACAAACAATTTCTAAACGAGGCAGACTATTGCCAAATAAGTTGATGATACAAGTACATCAACAATTTCAATTAAACTCCAGGACTCTTGAAGAATTAGATGGACAGAGATAAAACCAACCTTATATATTTTTTATTGAGTACCGTATATACTCGCCTATAAGTCCGTCCGCCTATAAGTCGGTTTTTTTTTTAAGGTTAATTTTGTGGGATTTGCCATAAACCCGCTTCTAAGTCGGTAAAATTTTTTGTTAGGATCGGTTGACAATTCCAGATCAATGCTCTGATTTTGGAACCAGATTTCAATTAACATTTTAAGAAATGACGCTGATACGTAATTTTAAATCATTAAACAAAAATAAATAATGCACACTTAAGATAAAAATAAAATTATTAAAATATGTGATACTTATACTTTATCATGTGTTTATGCATAATCTTAGAATACATAAATGATATAATGTATCATGACTTTGTTCAAAGATAATCGTAGAAATTTTTTTTAAAATGCTACATTTCACCATCCAGAAAAATACAAATCTTTTTATGACTTACCTATACATGTAAATTAAGTCGGACAGAGAGTTTTGCACCAAAATTTAACTCCCCAGAAACCTACTTATAGACGAGTATATACGGTGAATAGTTTTAATTTTTAGTAATGAAAATTCTTCCTTTTGTTTTGGCAATATATAGCTTAAATATACCATATATTTGAAGAGTTAAACATTGTACGGCCATTCTTTTATAAATAAACTAGATGAAATGCATTTATACCACTACAGACAGAAAAATTCCAGTAATATATATTGTAGTTTCTACTGACAGTCTACAGGCTTATAGCAGGAAGAAATATACTTTGTTCAAAATCAAGCATTTAGCTTTGGAGCAGAAGTAGATGATCCCCCCCCCCCCCGCTTTTGTTAAAACTTAAAAAAATAACAATTTCAATGATTGACGTTTATTGTGAAACCTGTAATACTATGTTATGGATATTGTACTTCAGACGCTCTTATTTCATTTCTGTCAAGGATAAAAGCATGCAGCGAATGTGCACATTTTAATGATAAATGGAATCTTTTTTTTTTCTTAAGCCGTAAACGCCCTATGAATAGGTAGAGTATTTGATACAAAACACTGTATTCAGAAAAAAAAAACTGAAATGTATTGATTAAAGCACAAATTTTAACGGCTTTAATTGTATTTGAACAATACCTTATTCATTAATTATTCTCTTTTAATGTAAGCAAATTTATTACGAAGTACAAATTTTACTTTGGGTTCGTTGCCACTTTGCTCTCAGTGAGGAATATTTTACCGATAAATTTATTAGGAAAACCTACTAATAGTTTTTCGATATATATATATATATATATATATATATATATATATATATATATATATATATATATATATTCACAATTTATAGTGTTATCAATGATTTTCAATTATTTCAATGACCATTCACACAAAAGCTTTTTTATGATCAAGCAGCCATAATCTCCTCTTTTTTTTCTTTTTAACATCGGGTTCTTTGCTATATGATGTTCTAGAAGCTTCCGTCAATATTAAGATCGGTGAATGACGAACATGGTTTGCACATTTCCCTTTTTAATCGGTTATCACTACTTATTTCTTTTATATCATTTAAATCAAGTTTTGATTGAATAATTCAGTGATGATATTTTATGAAATAAATAAACGATTGCTTGTTGTCAGTTTCATTAAAAATCGCCAGTAACTTAGATCCGCCAACCGGAATCGCCACCGTACCCACGTCTTTGCTATTTCATGGTTGTTTTTTAGAAGATGAAAGTAGACTTTTAATCTAATGTACGATACTTACTATGCGAGTGAAATCTGAATATAGTTTACGGACATCATCTTGTATCTAGTGTATTCATAGAGGAGTAAGTAAGACCTCTGGTTCACCCGTTTCTGAGTTTATTTGCAAAATTTATAAATTTATAAGTATAGATAAATGAATGAATAAATTAAATAGCTTCCAATAGTGAATATTATACTCTGCCCAATTATTATCACATCCTTTTTAACGATTTATGTATAACACATACATGTATGAATTAGAAAAAAAAATCCTTCCTTTTCAATTTTTACATAAATATTGAATGTAGTTCAGCATAACATTGTTTAGGGATGCGCGATTTTATCGGTATACCGGTAAATCGCGATTTTTTTATTGCGTGATACATTGTACGTATCGTGATACGGAGGCTAAAATACCGGTATTTGGTACATAACTATAAATTCCGGAAAATATTCATTTATTTTTTGAAATTATTGAATGACATTTACAGGAAGTGCAAAAAATGTTGAAAACAGTTGAACAATGTCAGCCAAACATGCTTTATATTAAGTAGATATAAAAAATTAAATAGAAAAGTTATGTTTTTATAGCATATCTTTTAAAAAATATATTATGGAAATTCCTTTGAAATTGTAGGAAAAATTGTGTGTAAAAATATCACGATTTATCGTAATGTTTTTGGGAAAAAATCGTAATATATCATGTTACCCATCCCTGACATTTTTACTTTTCTCACCAAGAAAACTATCGCCAACCGAAGCACAGCCGAGGTTGAAAATGATTTCGAGGGGTGAAAAGTTTCAATGTTAGACTCAACAACATGCAATATCTATTATATTATAATGAATGTTTTTTATACAGATTCAAATAACACTGAACTGTGTGTGCATAAATTCTGCACGGTTAACAATATTTTTAGACCCTTCGTCAAACAGTGTTGACTAACGCCACACTGGAAAAAGTGGTTTCATAATTCAGAGGTAATAATATTTTTTTAAACAAATGTTTCTCGACGAATTAGATTCAGGTAATTTACATGAAAGTATAATATTCTAAAATAAAAAGTCTAATGCAACTGTTTTGTAATCTGCATTTTATTGGCTAATGCAATGATGTTTGAGGCATTTAAACGAGCACTGACGAGAATAAAAGCTTTTGATTGTGACGTCATAATAAAACGACACAAAAACACAACGTTTTGCGACATATTTCACTTAACGAAAAACTCTACAAAATCAGACGTAACATGAAACAAAATGCATAAAATTACATTAGAATGGGAATAAATATCTTCTCATTTGTTATTTGTGACCGTTAATGCTGATTTAACGGTTGCAAACATCAGTTTTACCTGCTCATCTGACATGTCGCCGCTAAAACGCAGTTTCGACCCTTAAATAAACAATAATGGTGGTAAAAAACAAAATGAGAAGATAGGTATTCCCTAAATTCATTCAATTTGCAAGATTTAATCCAGTGGGGTGAGTTAAACATGCAAGAAGTATGAAGAGTAATCTTATTATGCGATGTTTTCTATGACAGAAGACACTGTCTACTCGACATAAGCAAACCATAAAGAGATATATATTACTGGTCTAGATTTGATCTAAAAAGCACAAAGAGACAAATTTGATTGGTCTAGAAACTAGATAACTATATGCAGTGCTGATTTTCAGAGAAATCCTGACGGTGAAGAGTGCCATGGAGATAAAGCAAAGGAAAAAGAAAACTAAGAAATGAATGACTGTTGAAAAAGATGTCTAGATTAGTGTTACAGAAATCTGTGACAGTAGAAGGTGTAAAGTATAGTTGCCACATATCCTGTGTTACGTCCGACCGAGTCTGGATCAGCGATGGATACAACAATCTTATATTAACAAACACAGAGGGTGAGGAATTAGATCATCTCACTGATGTAGTTAGTGGTGATGGAGTGCATACTGTGAATAAAGACGGAGATTTAATTTATATAGACAAGAATTATAACATTATCAAACTGTCCATAAACAAATCGAAGAGTATAATTATAAATTACACGGCTGCATGGAGACCGCGATGTATGCACAGCTCCCTCTCCACTGGAGACCTGTTGGTCGTGATGCACAATACAGAGACGGATGAAAACAAGGTAGCCCGGTATAACTCTACCGGAGAAAACACCCAGACCATTCAACACGATGGTACAGGACAAGAACTATATAAATTACCTAAATACATCACAGAGAACCGCAATGGAGATGTTATTGTTTCGGACCTACACCATGATATAGTGGTGACGGAGCGTGGAGGAAGACATCGTTTCTCCTATACAGGGCCTCCATCAGGTACAAGAATAGATCCACGTGGAGTCTGTACTGATGCAGTGTCAAACATCCTGGTGTGCAGTCATAATTCACACACAGTACAGATGATTGACAAAGATGGCAACTTCCTGTCACTTATACAGACCTTTAAACAAGGCATGGAAAGACCATTCGGCCTGGGTTATTATGGCAAAACACAGCTCCTTTGGGTTGGTTCACGGGACAACAACAAAGTGAACATATACAGATGTTTGTACGGAGACTCTCCAACTGGTATGTAAAAATGAAGTATGTTTATGTATTTTGTTAAACAGTATCATGTATGTACAATATACAGGTAATCTTTCTCTTTTGTGCAACATTACCATGTAGAAGGGAATCAAGCTTCTGCAGATTATGAGTCCTTGAGGTTATATATTGGAGAAAATATTGAGGTTATATATAGGTCAAAATATTTAGATATTTGTCCGGAATAGAAAAAACTATTTTTTAAAATCAGAATTACATTCTTTCTAATGTGCAAAAAGTCTCATAAAAAGATAATCTATTCTGAATTTTTCACTTCAAACACAAACCGACTATCATTTCATGAATTCCCATTTTTTTTAATTGTAGTTATGATGAAATGCTTAACAAATGTCTTTGTGGATAATGATTTCCTTTTTAACAGATCTTCCTCTTGAAAACTTGAAGTGCAAGAGGCATCCAGAAGATACATTAGGCCGATTCTGCATGCAATGCGAGGTTAGCTTATGTCGAAAATGCATCTCAACTTCTGATGAGCATAAAAGACACGACGTCAAAGAGGTTGAAAAAATATTTCGTGAAGTTCATAAGAAAGGTTTGTAACATTGCAGAACGTGACTTTGAACAGCTTCTTTGCCAAACTAACAAAAGAGACATACATCCATGGAAGAATAAATAGATATTCCCCCTTTATGTAGCGCATTTTGATATAACGTAATTTACATGGAACACCAGTCTATTCCTCGTGACATTTTACTTGACCTTTGACTTATTCGGTGCTTTCATGGGACCATTTTGCTGTGCACTTTTTTCAATCATCATAATCAAATAAGACCTATAATATGCAGCATGTTCACACTTTGCCCACAAGGGAAGGCAAGGTTATAGGTATTGTAACAATAGTTATTACAATATTGATCTGTTAATAAAGACCCTTTATGATAATCAGTTTTTGAAATCACGATTACTTTAAAGTAGATATATCCTAAATATATTTTTGGGAGCAAAATCTAGTAACTTTATCAAAACTGACGTGTATGCCATTATTATCTCTAAACCTTGCTTAAAAATATCATGAGAACATTTTTGTGCAAATTTGAATTGCTGAAATGTAAAGTAAAAAAAAAAATCAATAGAAAATTATTCAATAAAAATCACATTAAAAGACCTTTAGTTGACACATTGCATTGTTGCATCATTGCTCTTTATAAATAAAAGAAGTCAAAATTAATTGTGTGATGTAAAGGTCATATTTAAGACCAAGGGTAGTTAACACTATTAAAGACATATAATTCTCTACTTTGTAGATGGAGATGGGGTTTTGGTTTGTCTTCTTCTTTGCGATTCGTGCAAAATAAATCTGAAAGAAGAACATTGGATGAAGAAAGAAGAACATTGGATGAAGAAGTATGATGCTGTTGCTAAAGTTTACAAGTCCAAGAAGATTAAAAAGCAATTCAATCTTAACAATTTGCAAAAATACAAACCAATAATCAGGATACTCAATCAGGATAGTTCTGAAGTCACATTTTCTAGTGAGTTTTTCAAACACACCAGTTTTTTACGAGTTGCGAAAGATCCGAATTTCCTGAATATTTTTCTGACTTGGGCAGAGAAAGAAAACATAGCTGAGTACTGCAGGTCATGGGCCTATCCAAAGAAAGAGGAAGAAGTGTTTTGCTGGTTGTTACCACAGCAATCCGAACAACTGATAAAGAAACTTGAAGAGGGTATTTTCGAGCATCCCACATGGCAGGATGCATCAATACATAAAGCTGCATTTAAAAACCGTATGTTTATATTAAATACATTAATCCATCTTACATTATTCCCTACAAGCAAAGAATGGGGGAGGGGTACGCTGGAATCTGACTGTCCAACTGCATCTCTCTATAGCTACGTATACCTCCAATGTTTATATTTTTTTTTCTATGGAAACTTTTCGTTTTGAAAGTATTTCAGAATATTTTGTTAAAACTCTTTCACTGTTAAATGCAACTGAGACACAGACATTGGTTTATTGATAATTAATTTTAAAAACAAGTGTGAATCATTTTCAGGGTTCATGGTATATCATTTTAAAACTATAAATCGAAGGTAGTGTTGGTACACAATATTGAGTCAAAAATTATCATAAATATTTATATTTTTAATCTTCTTTGCTAAACAATTTTACTATATAATTCATTAAATGAAAGGATCTTCATGTAATACAAAATTAACTTGTTATCTAATGTGCAGTCTATGTCATTTTCATTTAAGGCGTTTTAAAAATTAATGTGCAAGAACTGAACTGCATTTTTCTGCATAGATTAAGATTCATCATAGACAAAATGACAGAAAAATGAAGAAAAGATCATTTAACATTTTTGTGGCTCATAAAAATTTTCATGGTCTCGTTTTCAAATGAATGCTCGAGGAAGAAGTGTATAGCTTTTAAACAAAGATCCAGATATTACATAAAAAAGTCCTTCGTTTTAGTTGGAATACCAGTCCAAATTATAATGAGAGGAGATGACTCAGTGAAGAATTTCATGGGGAATTTAAAAAAAGGGGAGACAATGATGTACAGTGCCTCTGGAATGATAATTGGATGCGCCGGAAGTGGAAAGTCAACCTTGCTAGGGAGGTTAAAGGGCGTTGACGTTGAAGAAATTCAGAAAATCACAAGATCAACCCGAGGAATTGATGTCCAGACTGACGTTTTTGACGTGTCAGACAACACCATAGGTATTGTATATCAGAATTTTTATTTTAAGAATACATCTATATTTATCATCTAGCAAAGGAAGAGAAGTTAAGCAATTCAAGATGCTCATATATAAATGATTTGCTGTAAAATAACGTATTCTCAACTTTTGCTGGAAAAATAAACTTATAAAGCACACAACATTAGTCATCTACCGGTGCATTCTGTGTGTCCATCAGTCTGTCTGTTCCTCTTGTCTGTATGTCAATCTGTCCAACTTCGCTTTCCGCATTTTGTATACCTTGAACTGTTTATATTGTACGTGAGTCTAACATGATTTAGTTTGCATTTTGCTGTTTAGATGATTTTTTACCGGAAGTTGGTTTCTTTTAATTTCCGAGAGGATTTAGATTATATCTATCGGTAGAGGACAAATATTGCTTTTGCAGATCTCTTAGAGTGTTTGTGTATAGTTTTGATTACAACATCAGCGTCATTATACATATTCCTTAACATATATTTATTTTTTGTGTCAAAATACAAAATCTTTTAATATATTTGTTACAGCAAATTCATCAAAGCAAAAACAGCGCTTTAAGGTAACAATGGAAGAAAAAAGTCAACCTGTCAATGTTCCAGAGCAACCTTTAGAATTATCCGATGAGAAAGTACCGGATATTAATGAACCTGAGCCGGAAGAGAACAAAGACAACTCGGAAAGCGAAGAAGTTAATGATGAGAAGATGTCGCCTAATACCATGAACACAGAGACAGGGACATTGGAAAGAAAGGAAGTTTCTGCACCTTCTGAAAAGGAAGAGGAGGAAATAGTTGAAATAGATCAAAATGTGTCTGAGAATTCAGAAAATTTGGGAATTTTACGAGTTTCCAAAAATTTTTCAGAGGACCCAGAAAAAAGAATCACAATGCTTGACTTTGCGGGACAGTGTGCATATTATGCTTCACACCAAATTTTTCTGAGTCCAAGGGCATTTTTTATTCTGGTGCTCAATATGGAGAAAAAACTTGATGATAAGGTTGGGAAAGAAGTGTGTAGTCAAAAGGACTCAATTTTCAACGGATGGACTCACAGAGGTTTGCAACTGTTTCATAATATTGCATATTGCTTGCATATTATAGATTTAAATAAAAGCAATATGTATTAAAGATAAACTACATTTATATACACATTTATGATGAAAAAGGTAATGATAGCAAAAGGTGATCAAACCTATAAAACCATTAAAGAATGCATAAAAGAAAAGATAAAAAAAAGGACCCCTTGAAATACCAGAGGTGGTTTAAAAGCCAGGGGAGCATCCCGGTCACGTCCTTCATGAGCAGATTGGTTTACCATCTTTTCTTCTGTGAAAGTCAGAGGGTCTTTGTTGCAATGTTTCATGCAACTAGCAATATTGGCATATAAGTGCTGCATGAAAATTCAAAAGTGTCATGAAGGGGCAACAGGAGGTCATATCTGAGACCTTTTTTGTGATCAAATGATATGACACATTTTAATCAACCATGGTTCAAATTTACATGGATCGGAAGTTGAATGATAATTACCTTTGGACCATTACTTTTCACTGTTCAGAGTGGAAAATCATAGTTTGATACTTAACAATAAAAATTGTTCTCAACCTCAAAAAATCGATTACACTTTAACAAGATTTAAATAATAGAAATTAGCATTTTCCTTCAGAAATGATTAAAATATGTTTATTTTTTCAAAGCATAGAGAAGGCCACTTGTCCCATAAAATAAGCCCAAGATATATTTCTGCTTCCAGAGAAGTGCATAAATTAAGTCATCAATCTATAAATTTTGTTTTGTATTTTACATAGATTACCTTACTTTCTGGGCGAAGTCTATTCATCAATATAGCAGTGAAAAGGCTCCAGCTATACTAGTGTGCACGCACGCTGAAAACAAGACGAAAAAGGTGTTGTATCTTTTTTTTTTTTTTTTAATCTATGAATGATTACTAAAAATTATTGTGATATTTGGCATTGCCTTTCAAATTAACTTAATTAATGTCATGAATTCCATGATTTAACAGCTACTGTTTATTGCGCTAAGCTTGTCTACTATCCCTAAATTACTTTACGCCCTAACTGAGCCAAACTTGCATTATGCCTGGGTAATACAAATTGAAATGATCACTCATATTCATATTTTGGGTACTCACAGTACCAACCAAACACAATATAACACCAGAGTGAACCCCTAAAAGAACCCCGCAAGGTCCGCTATTTAAAAATTATTCTGTGCGGCTCTGCGTTCGCTTTGGGTCAGCTCTGTTAAAAAAGAACCCTGCGATCGCTTTCACACAGATCATGCCTGAAGCGGATTCCGCTTTATCTTACCACCTGTAAGCCTCGCCCCTTGTATATTCAAAACGTAGAGTAGCTGATAACCTTCAATGTTGTTCAGTGGTGATCGGAAGCATCTATGTATGTAGAAACAAAATGGAGGATGTTAATAAATATATACATTACCAGGATTATTAATATTATACAACATATTATGAATTACAGGAAAAATAGTTGACGTGTTTATGCTTTGAGAAAAAATGTATCATTATAAACGGCTGTGTATTTATGATAAATACAGTTGAACGTCGGTATCTCAAACACAGATACCTTGAATACCATTGCTATGTCGAGGTGACTTGGAAGTCCCAACCGCTTATTTCTTCAGTATTTTACCCTGAAAATCTCGAATCCCCGTTGTCGTCGGACCCCTAACAAATTTCATTCGATATCTTGTGGACTAACTGCAACAACGTCTTTCGGGAAAATAACAAATCTTAATTGATTTTTTTCTCTCTCTCAACCAGTTACATTCAGCCTTTTGGTGATAAACAATGCTTAATACGTGCATGATTCCTTTCTGCTTATATATATGTCTACTTCAGTTTAATTGATGCTTCTCAATGAGAGAAGCAAGCTCAAAGATATCAAATGAATAAAGTCGAGATGACACAGGACATTGTGAGAATGAAAAATCAGATACTGTACGTTATCTTAAAAAATAAATATAAATTTTGCTGATTTTTTTTTTACTTTATATGTTCTTTATACTATTTTTTGAATATTATCAATTCGTAATAATACATACATTTAAACAAAATAAATTCCATAATAATTATAAATGTTATAATGATATTTTTCATTCACATACATGTACAGGTAATGGTTTTAATTCATTTATTTTTTCTGTTTAATATACACAAATAAGATTGATTTAAATTAAACATAGTAAAGTATTTAGAAGAAAATGATGGATAATTAAATCAACGCAATTATGATTTTAAACAAGATGTCTTTGTGAAACATTGATGCCCCCGTATGGCAGCTTATGGCGAAGGTTAAAGTTTCTCAAATGTAAGTCAAGATAAAAAATGTTTAATTTGAAAGCCCTAGCTGCAACTGTTCAAAAGTTATGGCCAAGGTTAAAGTTTTTTTAAAAGTACGTAAAACATCAAGGTCAAGGTCAAAGTTGTTGGTATCCAAAGGAAGGTCTTGTCACAAGGATTACATTTTTTAAGTATGAATACCCTAGCACCAACCAGTCAAAAGTTATGGCCAAGGTTAAGTTTTTCGAAAGTAGGTCAAACTACTATGTCAAGGTCATAGGGTCAAAGTGGTTGGTATCCAAAGGAAGGTCTTGTCACAAGGATTACATATGTGAAGTATGAAAGCCCAAGCACCTACCATTCAAAAATTATGGCCAAGGTTATAGTATTTCAAAAGTAGGTCAAACTCCTATGTCAAGGTCAAAGGTTAAAGTGATTGGTATCCAAAGGAAGGTGATGTCACAAGGATTACATATGTGAAGTATGAAAGCCCTAGCATCAACCCTTCGAAAGTTATTGCCAAGGTTAAAGTTTTTCAAATATAGGTCAAACTCCTATGTCAAGGTCAAAAGGTCAAAGTGGTTGGTATCCAAACAAAGGTCTTGTCAAAAGGATAACATATGTAAAGTATGAAAGCCCTAGCCCTAACCGTTCAAAAGTTATTGCCAAAGTTAAAGTTTTTCAAAAGTAGGTCAAATTCCTAGGTCAAGGTCAAAGGGTCAGAGAGGTTGATATCCAGAGGAAAGTCTTATCACAAGGAATACACATGTGAAGTTTGAAACCCCAAGCACCAACTATTCAAAAGTTATGGCCAAGGTTAAAGTTTTTCAAAAGTAGGTCAAACTTCAAGGTAAAGGTCAAAAGGTCAAAGTTGTTGGTATCCAAAGGAAGGTCTTGTCACAAAAAAATACACATGTGAAGATTGAAACCCCAAGTACCAACTGTTGAGAAGTTATGGCCAAGGTTAAAGTCTCATAAGATTTTGCAAAAGTGGGTCAAACTCCAAGGTCAAAAGGTCAAATATAATGGTACCCAAAGAAAGGTCTTGTCACAAGGAATACACATGTGAAATGTGAAAGTCATAGCTCCAACCAATCAAAAGTTATGGGCAAGGTTAAAGTTGACAACAGACAGACAGACAAACAGATAAACAGACAAACAGACAGACAGGACAAAAACAGTATACCCCCGGGATCTTTCGATCCAGGGCATAAAAATGGAACGAATATGACATATGTATAATGCAAAATTGGCAACTCTGTTATGTCATAGCGAACCGGGCGTACGCTTTCTTGATGCGCTTCTGAATTGGCGTTTGTTTTGGGACCAGCCGGGGTGTACTTCGAATGCGCTCTGGGTTAGCTCGGTTTCAGACTTTGCAGACCCCAAGCGAACCCTGAAAGCGAACTAGGGGTTCGGTCGAGGTTCGCTTTCTGTAGGTTGTTCCTGCTCGATACTGTATACTTCATGGGTGCGTGGTAAGATTCAAATTTAAAACCAGAAGCAATTTTCACAAAAAAAAAAGTTTTTGAGTAAGATTTTAACTTAGGAATCTCCTTCGACAAATCTTAAGTGCTTCTCACGAGAGCAGATTAGATTGTATTTAAGATTTTACAACAAACTTCTTCCCTAGCAACTATCTGAGTATGCTTTATAATACGTAAAAAGTGGATGAAATAGAAATAAAGTTAAGTTTTCAACCCTTGTCAACTAATCAAACATTAGTGACAACAAAAATCGAATGCAATCGATTGTGAAGCAGGGAAGTTTGAAATCTGACATCACAATCACAAATCTGACGTAAAAGTAGGTCATACAAAAATCTTAAGGAAACTGCTATCGTAAATATTTTGTAATATATTTCATTTAAAATTCTGGCACTCATTGTGAAAAAAAATATATACAAAATGCGAATATAGGTTGTTTCAAAAAACCCTCATTCAACGTGTATTTTGGTTTTTCAAAATTGATTTGCATGAAGGCATTGAATAATGACCTCCATTATTAAACTCGATTGAGACAAACTATCTGATATGTTTGGAATACTCTCTTCAAAGTTATTTCTCTGACCAGTGGGCCATTGCACATTAAGATGTCTTGAATATATGCCATACATGAAATGTGAGGATAATGAACAGTGATCATTCTCACAAAGTCCATTTAAACAATATAAATTTTGAGCAGAGCCAAAACGGACCTCTGAAAAGAGAGGTGGGATAAGGTGCCACGGAGGTATAGGTACCTACCTCGCCTGCCGACCGGTCAACCCTGAATGTGTTCTTTTTCCTGACCGGATAAATACCTAATGCAACGTTAACCAAATAAAACATGCTCAAGTTAAAGGTACTTCTAAGAAAAATTGTATGCAGCTTACAATATATTTAGTTTATAGTTACAAAATATACTTTATTATATTATAGTATTTCGGGCGTTATTCACCATTTTAATTTACTCTCTGAAATGTGTTTTTAACCAGGAGAAGGTACAGTTTTTCCGTGAAATATGGGAGACTTTGGAAACGAAGGACAAGTCTTTACAAAGCCATTTCGAAACAAAAAAGATGTTTGCAGTAGGATTCGATAACAGTGAATGCATTGATAAAATCAAACTATCGATCGTTGATATTGTTAAAAACCTTGATCACTGGGGTGAAAAGCTACCGTACTCATGGGCGATGTTTGAAAACTTCTTTCAGGAAAAGAAAAAGCTTAGAATTATCAAGAGAAATACTCTTTTGGATTTCAATGAAGCATTGCCACAAGAAGTAAAATTAGAAACATTCGAAGATATAAACACCATGCTGTTGTTTTTCCATGACATCAGAGAAATTTTATTTTTCGACAAAGAATTACTCAGAGAAGTAATAATTCTTGATGTTCAATGGTTTGCAGATGCATTCAAAAATGTTATTACTGATGAAAATCATGCAGAGGAGGATTTAATTGAGTGTGCAGTAGAGTGGGACCAATTCAATGAAACTGGAGAACTCAGTGACGTTTTGCTGTCCCAAATATGGAAAATAAACAATAATGAATACATTGAACACAAAGAAGAGATCATGCTCTACATGGAGAGGTTAGCACTCTTGGCTAAACTGGATGAACAAAAATGGTACGTTCCCTGTATGAATAAAAAGATATTTCCTGAAAATAGTTTTTCCTCATATCCTGCCTCATCCATCCTCTGCTATATGTTTGATGTTCTTCCTGCTGGCATTTTCCAGCGCCTTGTTGTGAGTTGCATACAATTTCCATGGGATATTGTCAAAGAAAAAAAGGAAGAAAAGAATACCCATGCATTTACCAAACAGCGGCTGTGTTTCTGTTCAAAGAACATAATATTCTGCTTGGCATGACTTCAACAGAAATTCAGCTACAGGTGTGTGTTATTGACGGAGAAGTTGAAATACCGACATGTTTCGAAATAAGAGAAAAAATAGAGAATGAATTGCATATTCTTTCCTGTACTTTCCAAAAAAATTCGAAATTCCATATCGGCTTCAAATGCAAACCTGTAGGCTTCTGTGATAATGGAAAAAGTACCATAATAAATGAATCCGTATTTGAGAGGCCGAGTTTTCAATGCATTTCCTGTCCTGTAGAGAAAAAACATATTATTAACACAAAAGATATCACCAAATACTGGAAACAGGTACTTAAGTATTCTGACTGTTTTCATATCTGATTTATAACTTCTTTTAAAAACTTACATTATTTTATTGCAATTCATCTGAAAGAGATTAAGTCTATAGAATTTCATTCGATTTTCGAATTTTAATTCGAATTTTCAAATATTTAAGAAAAACGTCTTTCAGATTTAAAAGAATTAGTTGATTTTATTTTTAGTACATTTATTTGGAATGCTCAATGAAACCTTTGTTGTTAATGCATGAACGCAAGAAAACAAAGGACAACAGGTAAAATTTGATTGCATGTAAAACTATCAGATTACATGTAAAACTATTAGTTTATCAAACAGGGACACCAAGCAGAGGATGTTAATGAGGAGGAAAACCTTCCAAAGTCATGTATGTATCCTCATCGTCCAATTTTACTTTCATCACTTTTCTTTCAGTTTACGGTATTGATATTGATTCTGAGGGATAAGATAACATTTATTAGCTAGATTATTTCAAATATCACAATAAAGGGAACAGACTTTGAAAGTTTTATATTTTTTTTAATTTTAGCGATTGAATTTATTTTAAATGCGGTGTCAAGAAAACTACATGGAATTTCCTCCTCCTTTATGCTTGCACAAACTTTTGGAGTAGACATGGAAGAAAATTCCAAAATATGTGATGCAGAAGATAGATTTAGAATTCTCTATAGATGGAAATGCAAAACGTCTGCCACGGATCATTTAAAAGAGTTAGGGAGAATTTTGCGGGGGGCTGATCTTGGAGAAGCAGAAGATTGCGTAGAAACTTTTAAAGTGACGGACTTTGAATGTTACGATATATCTATGCCTTGTCAGGCTGTTTCAACCAAAGAATTCCATTTCTTAAAGGATAAACTTCCGAAGGATTACACTCATTTTGTACGATTTCTAGGTCTGCCACACATACATATAGAAGAGCTGGAGGTGGATGGTTCTTCTGTGAAAGAAAGGATATATAAATCTCTCTTGAAATTGAAAGAAGATCGTCCAAAGTTAAGCCGACAGGAAGTATGTAGAGCTTTGAAGTTCATAGAGAGAAGTGATGTCATTGATGATCTAAACAAGCAATGGGAATAATAAAAGAAACTTGGAACACAAAATAGGGAAATCACAAAGGCGTGAACATGCATATTATTTGTAATATAATTTTCTCGACGGAAGTCTTAGAAACACTTTATTTGCAGAACATATTCAAAGGCAATGACAAATAATAATATATGTAAATAAACAAGCAAATGTGAAAAAGTTGAATTTTTCAACTTTTATGTTTTTCAATATTTTTTTAAGGAAATTTACAGAAATTATAGAGATTCTTTTCAACATGCTTCATATATTTTGTTTGAAAATTGATAAATCCAAACTTGAGATATTTATCTGTTTTCAAAACTGGATTGAAATGGATTTTGAAAGTAGAATTTCAATGCAATGTTTTTCTCGGACGTCCGCGATTAATTCGAGAAAACATTAAACTGAATCGAATGGTTTCTCTAACGTCCGAATTGAGTTTATTGCAGACGTATTGGTAAACATTGGATTGAAATTCTTCTTTGCAGTTGAATTTCAATCCACTTTGGCTATTCTCTTAGGAACAGTTTTTGATTCCTCGAAAGGTCCAAAAAATATGATTATAAGTTCAGTATAATGTAAAATTAATACAAATAAGACTTTTCTATCCAATTTCTAAAACAAAAAATAATGACTTTTACAGGGGTAATTTGACAATTAAGGACAGGGAAGATGCGCACTAAAATAATCTGACTTGCTAAATCAGTGATACAATATGACGTCATAGTAGGCGAGATGACATCAATTTTGGAACATGCTTTTTTATATTGTTATTTAGAGATATAATTCAAGTCCGGAAAATGAATAGAAAGTTGAAAATATTAACAAAAATAAAATGTTTTTATTTTGTTATGCTGTATCTGTTATTTGAATTAAAATCTCCCGACCGATAACGTCATAACTGTTCATCAAGTAACTTGAGAATAGATCATGTTGTGTAACGAGAATTTGGCTAAGACGTCATGTAAAAAGATACGTTAAAGGGGGTTTAGAAGCAAATACCGTGATTATTGTGTATGATTTCTGTGAAGTTAAAGATTGTTAAACAGGTATGCTAATTTATTTTCATTGATTATATCTTCTATTGAAGACAGTCAGCTATTTATGTATCCAGGTCGGCCTTTCCTCTGTCATCCGTGACAACAATAATGCAAAAGAACACTAAGCTGGATACTTCAAAACATAAGATTTGTACATATCGAAAGCTTGCATTCTATAATACTTGGAAAGTGCTGCTAGAATCGTGAGGTAAACATGGTTTGAAGAAATATATCGGGTTACATGTATGTATATAAATCAAAACATCGGGTAAGGTTTCGTGCGAATATTTGGAATAATTATTTTCCCGACCGGACATTGGGATTCTAGCAGCATTTTTTATGCATAAGAGATGTTTTTCAACTTTATTATTTACTCAAAGGAATTACTAAACCCTAGGGTAGTGTTCTTCTGTTAACTTTTTTTTATTAAGGAATATTTTGCTATTAATAGCAGTCAAGTGATGACGTCGTGCTGGTGCACTTCTTGGCCTCAGACACTCTGTTGTACTTATGCAATAGTTAATAATACTTTACGTTTTATCGGTGACTTTGATAAATTATCAAACTTAATTTTTTTTAAAAAGTCTGAATTTCCGAGAATTGACGAGGCGTTTTTTGAAATGAATAACCCGCTTACGAAAATATAAATACTCTGTCCTGCAAAGGCAATAAAATAGGTAATCTGACATTGAATTATGGGCCTCCAGTCATCTGATCTGTGAGTACCTGTAAGAAATTCCAACTATTTGCTAGCAAAGATGAAAAATTGAGTTTATGAGTATCCCTCCTTCTTGTTTTGTTTAAACGATAAGATATGTTCCTGGTCATCTCAGAAAAAAAAATATTTTGCCTGTAATGGCATAAAATGATCTTTGAACAACAATTTTGATCCAATGTTTTCTCAAACGTTTGCGTTGAATTCTACCCACCTATTTCAGTGAGAAATTTTCCTTAATAAGTATTTCTTTTAAAATGCACATTTCCTGTGTGTGTCAATGTTACTACCATATATAAATATTTTTATTTGCATACAATAATACAAGGATGAAGAATAGGAAGGAGAACTCTCGTTGCTTGCAACGAGTTTCTAGTTTTTTTTTGTATTATTCGTTCTGGAAGAGGTCAGAACAAATTTACAGAAAAGGATTATATTAACCAGTATTTAATAATATAAAATTTATTTATCTTTTTATATCTGACAATAGAAAACAGTGGAATACATACGATGAAGTAAAATATTTAAGATATTCCGAATAAGTCGTTCATCTTTCGTTCGCAGTTCGTTTACCGTTCACTGCGCTTGCGTTTGCATATAACAAAATTCAACAAATTAAGACGTTATCATAAAATAAAATGCATACATTGTATTAGAATGGGAATAAATATCCATTCAATTGTTATTTGCGACCGTTAATGCTAATTCAATGGTTGCAGACGTTCAGTTTGCGACCGTTAAATCAGCATTAACGGTCGCAAATAGCAATTGAGAAGATTGTTATTCCTTAACTGTGACGATGTCCTACCTGTAAGTGTCTTTGCAATAATGTAGCATCTTAAAGCCATTTTTTTTTCAATCTGACAATACAAGGCAACACACGGCTTGTCTGACTAGTGTGTTCTTGCAAAGTCACTGCTTCTAGCCCTGCTTTAGTCATCTACTTCATATTGTGACACATATAAATTTATATCTTCCTCTTTCTTTACTCCACATTAAAACATTAACAGCAGTGAAGAAAAAAAAATTCAGCAGTACTGTGCATCAATATACTAGTATTCGAGAAGTGGTGTAAATCAGATGTGGATACTGAAAAATTCCAATGAACTTTTGAAAAATTTGAAATACATTTTTTTACCAAAATCAATAACATTAAAAATGTACAACTTTTCAACTCTATATATAACCATTCCCCATGATAAATTAAAGTCCAGGTCCCGAGGTTATAAAACTTCTACCGTACTTATACTCCATCTCCAACTCCAAACTCTGAGTATGAACTTCGCTGAGTGCATTTCTAAATTCGAGGTTATAAAACTCTTGGAGTACGTTCTCCACTGAGTCAAACTTAACGGATTTGAAGTACGAACGCAAACTCTGGAAATGGAAATCTTCATCTTTTAGAGGTAAGAAATATGTAAACATAAATATTAAAATGCGGGGCCATGCACGTGATAGTACCCGGTATATGCCTTATAAGGGCGATTTATGTAAATAAACGCCTGCTTTATTCTGTCATTCCAAAAATGGATAACAACGTGCAATCGGCTCCGGAGAATCCAAAACAAAAAAAAAAAAAAAAAACAAAAACAAAAAAAAACGAAAATGGACAGAAAATGAGGAGACTGTGCTCATCCAGTGCGTTGTGGAGAGGGAGGGCGATTTATTTGGGGAGATAAAGGGGGTGGGTACGAAGAAAATATCTGTTGCAAGGAGAGAGGGATGGGGAGAGATCAGCGGCATCTTGAACTCGTAAGTATTAATTTACTTGTCTAATTACACTGAAAAGGTGACACGTTAACATATCATTAGTTTAATAATATAGGTCACCAGCTGGTTAAGTGTCAGGTATTTGTTTATTAACAGTTTTCACAGACGTCCGCTTTTGAGTAAATATAGATTTGTTTTTTTCTAAAAGGTATTTTACTGTTCATTGTTATTTAAATTGATTTTAAACATTTAGATTATTGTTTTTGCACATTGATATATTATTGTATGTTAAATCAAGCCACAGCTGTAGAAATATATAAATAGGGGGGGTATTATTAATGATTGATCAGAAAATAAAAAGTTTATAATATCTGTAATGTTTTGCTTAATACTAGGCAATTTAGCACAACAAAAAGAGATGCCGATGAAGTCAAAAAGAAATACTTTGATTTGAAGCAGAGAGGTATGCGATCAACAATCTTTATATTCTACATATATGTACCTAACTTTTTATTATTTATCATATTTAAATATAAAGAACTTAGAAAGAACCAAATAAAGATACAGAGGAACTTAAAAAGAAGCATTTTAATTTAAAGCAGAGAGGTACTTATACCAGTGATATATAATTTTTTTTATTGATATTTTTTTTATTACTGTAACATATATGTTATAAAAACCCGTACTATTTTATTGAAATAAATAGCTTTATTGTCCACACTTTATAATGCATAATTTATCTTATAATTGCTGTGAATGTATATTTTGATTACAAAAAATAAATTGTGAATATTGTGTATATACAACAAATACAAGTATATTTTACAATAGCAAATGAAAAAAATTACAACATAAAGCGGTCTGTCGTCAAGACAGGTGGTGGTCCAGAACCTCCCTCTCTGACTCCCGGGGAAGAGGCAATCGTTAAAACATTAGAGGGAAGGCCAGGTACATGTGGAATTAAGGAAGGCATAGACACGGACGGTAATACATGTATATGCATTTTGTTATGCCTCATCATATATATATATATATATATATATATATATATATATATATATATATATATATATATATATATATATATATATATATATATATATATATATATATATATATATATATATATATATATATATATATATATATGTATGTATGTATGTATGTATGTATGTATATATATATATGAAAAAGTAAGCCTCATGTTATTTTACAAAAAAATTAAAGTTGGGAACTTTATTCCTTTTTTCAAATGTATACATTTAATATATATAACTTTGATTTTTTATTAATAAAAAAAATGATTTTTTCAGAAATTTATGTTAAACCAGGCCATTCATTCAAATTCATAAATTATTTATCAAATATAACATATTGAGTATATTATGTAAAAGTTTCTAATAATGAATGAGTTCTTGTAATATTGAGCTGAGGGGTAAGTAAAATGAGGGGTTTGGGGGTTGGAAAGGAGGTGTCATAAAATGTATATAATTATAACCTGAACATTCAAAGAATGGTATCCCTACCTGTTTACGAAGTCTGCCTCATTGTCTTTGGGTTTCATTATCCTAATGTGTGTACAATCCACACATCCTAGTACATTTGGGAAACCTACAAATTTTAAAACAAAATATTGAAATTGATGAAATTGATGTGTAATTTTATTTGGAGTATATTACAATTATAATCATAAGTTGAAGTGCATTTTTATGAAAACAAAGAATAATTAAAACAATAATGTTTGATTTTTTAAAAGCTGTTCATGAATTCTTTTCAACAGCACGTTTACACAAAAGAGTCAAATAAACAGGGGGCGAAATGATGAGAAACCGATTTGTGACGTATTAGCTTGTAAGTTGTTAGAACTTTACCAGCGATGGCAGAGAAGTCACGCTTTGCAGAAGCTGCATCATTTTTGGTTGGAAACACAACAAATCTGCGAGCAAGGTTCGCCAAATGTCCTGCAACTGCACGGATGCACCTTCCTGCTTAACTTCGGGAAATGTCCATAGAGTCTCCGATGATTATATGCACCGCACCAGTGGCGAAATATCGCAAACACAGGAGAAGTTGAAGCAGAGGTGGCAAAGGATGGTTGCGGTTAGTTGGCCTGGACAAATCAGGGAGAAGACCGAGGATGAACACAATCGTCTGTGGACGAAACCGAAAGCGATGATAAACTTCATCATCTTCCAAGTATTCCAAAGGATTTGATCTGTCTTTGAATAGTCGCGGACGCCTGTGTGGCTGATACATTAATCGTTGACGAAATTGTCGTCTGTGAGCAGCCATGTTTGCTTGTTTGAGTACGGCTCTGAGAATGCTTCAAAACATACTTGAAAAATCTTGAGTATGTACTCCGTTGTAGTTTGAGTATGAGTATAATAATTTTTTATAACCTCAACTTTGGAGTATGAGTATGAATTTGGAGTACGGAGTTTGAGTATGAGTACGAATTTGAACTCCAAAAAGTTTAATATTCGTGGCCAGACGTTTTGACATCATTCACAGCTGATTTTTCAATAAACATGGAACTCATAAATTTAGTTACCTTGTCATTAGTCATTTTCAAAGACATTCTAATTCTACACACAAGTACTCTGAAGTTGATATTAAAAAGATGCTTGAGTATCTGATTGTAAATATCTATGTGGTTTTTGGAGACCAGGTCTTCCAACAATCTGTTAGAATTCCCATGGGTATCAATTGCGCCCGTAATTAGCAGACCTACTTTTTGTATTCATATGCAGCAGAATTTATTCAAAATCTTATACATGAGAAAAAGAAATATCTTGCTGTGGCCTTCAATTTGAGATTTAGATATATGGATGACGTATTGTCAATTAACAATAGTTATTTCCATTCATACATCGACACGATATATCCCAGTGAGCTTGAAATAGAAGATACTACAGAATTGACACAACTGTTTCATATTTGGATATTTTACTAGAAAAGGACGTTAATGGTAATCTAACAACCAAGCTTTTTGAGAAACGTGATGACTTTAACTTTTCAATCGTCAACTTCTCTTACTTATGAAGCAATATATCCTTTTCACCTGCATATGGAGAGTATATCTCGATTCGATACTCAAGAGCATGCTCTACCTATGAACAATTTCTGAAACGAGGTAAGTTATTGACGAAAATGTTGATGAAAAAGGAATGTCAACAGTCTCGTTAAAAGTCATCATTTCGTAAGTTCTATGGTCAATACAATTTATCATTGGGTCAAATGCTGACTGACTTTTTTCATACTAATTGTAAGGCCTTTATTTACACACGGAATTGTGAGGGATTTATTCTTTATTTTCCGATCATGACAAGGAGCACACGGCGGATATGACCGAATGACAGGGGATGCTCACTCCTCCATGGCACCTGATCCCATCTCTGATGTTTCTGGAGATCCGTGTTTGCTCTGCTCCCGATTTGTATTGTTTTAATGGACTTTGAGCTTGAATACTGTTCTGCAGCAATATTAAGGCTTCCCGAAGCTTTAAAATGCACTCAAAACATAACATGTCATTGCGAGGCATGTTTTGGTTTTAATTTATAAGTGTTGAACTTTATGACTTCCAATTTATATAGAGGGTTTCCTTGGCTATATATTAACATATTTGTTATGATATCACATGACTTTGTTGATCACGTGACGGTCATTTATAATTTTTTTGAAGTGTTTCATATAAATCGCTTCGGCGCAGCTGATTAACACAGTAATTATTAACATTTTGTTATATAAATAAACTTATCGTATCCTTGTGTATCCAAAATGTGCTTGGAAAAAGTCATAGTATTATTTGGGTATATAATAATTCGCGAGAAATTCAACTTACCTACAAATTTGAAGGGATGTTCCACACAATATCGTAATCTGTATTAAAACAAAGCCAACACACATTTTTCCCAAGCAAGATTCAGTTAGAGAACAACCTCTTCATACAGATTTTCACAAAAATTCTCAGATTAATCCTAATTAAAAATAATGCAAAATCCTCATTAAAAATAACGCAAAATAAATTCTACCTCCAACCACGGGTACAAAACAGAGTACATTTCAAAAGTATATTTTTCATAAGCATTTTGAACATGCCGAATTTCAATTAAGGGTAATAAGCGGTGTATTTTTAAAATATTCGGACATATAAGACTAAAAAAAAACCTTTAACGACCCGTGAATTTTGCAATAGCTATCTAGTATCTTACATGCAGTTTGAAATAAAGTCAAGTTCATGACACTCTCCCCGTCATAACACCTCAAGTTTGCAGTGACTTGATTTTTCCATTACGACGTCATATTTTGGTAGTTCAGAGATGTGAAGGCACAGAGTGCACTGTGATATTTCTACGGAAAGTTTTAACCTACCTGAGTCGTTATCTCCATATTTTATATAGCAAATATATTCTAAAAGTTCAGGAAAATATGGAGCCAATTTAAACTTTAAACACTGCTTGTCCTGAAATATTTATTAAATTAGCTTTTATGAATTCTACCATCATATTGACAAACATAGCATATGTATTCTGAAAGTTCAGAAAAAATGGGGCGAATTTTAACTTAAAATTAACACTCTCTAAACATTATGTGGAAATTTACATCATAGACCCCTACTTTTGTGATTTTCGTGTCTGAATGTATAAGAAATGTTCGATCATTCTGCTTAAATGCAGCAGAAGTTTAAAACTTTGAAATAATTTTCTTGCTTGTTAAATTTTTAATGCCAGAAAAACGACATTTTGTGAGTTCAAATAATTGATTATTCTTATAATTTGAAACTTTTTCTTTGTCACATTTTTAATGTGCCTTTTCAAGATAGAAAAAGAGTGTGTTTGGTTTCATAATTTATTTAAATAAAAAATATTGAGGAAAAAACTTCAAAGAAAAGATTTTTGCTTAAAACAAACTTTCAGTGCAAAAAGGTCATATTAAATGTACCGTAGTGCCAACAGAAGCGTATTGACCCCAAATTTTGTTTTGAATTTTAAATAAGTTATGTGTGTAGAAATTAAAATATACTTGACGAAAAATTCTCAAGACTTTTGATAACAGGATCAAACGTCCTTAATACTCATAAGGGTGAATGTAGGATAAGAAGGGTAAACAACATAATTTACAACAAAGACAGAAGCTTTTCAATGAAAATGATATTTGCCTATTTACCGGGAAGTTTATCCTTCCCTTCACAAAGAGTGTCTTTAAAAAAATCCCTGGCCTATTATAAGTTAGAGTTAATGAGCCATCGTGACAGAAACTAATAGTTATACTGCCAATTTTTTTTTCCAAATATGTCGTTGAAAATCAATGTTTACAACGTTTTTTTTCAATCTCGCAATCGCTTAGCTATGACGTCTCAACCGCTCAACTATGACGTCACAGCCTATGGCACTGTGTTAGGAAAAGACAGAGGCGAAAGGAAAATATAAGAATATGTAATAAACAGAAAATTGAATGTTTTGTAGATATATACGGAATTCATTTCACTCGTGAGACAAGACTTATTGATATATTTTCACTCGTGCTTCGCACTCGTTAAAATATAAACCAGTCCTCTCACACTCGTGAAATAAATTCCAAATTCATCTACAAAACATTGAATATCCTCTATATATTTTACTACAAATTGACAATTCTTGTTTCATTTAAATAGCATGGATGCAAAATTTACCTAAGCTATGTCATTATATGTCAATTTTCTAATAAAGTAAATTTTTTGAAAGACATCTGCAAAAGTTTTCAACAAAAAGTGAGTTTAAAAATGTATTAAAACTTTAATTACGAATTAATTTGACATTAAAATAAGTCTTTTTCAAACTGTAGGCCATCCGCCTACGATTATTCAAAGTGAAACAATTTTTCTTTTCGAGAAAAGAACATCGACAATGGATGTACCAAAGAAAGTTAGGAACGAAGAGGAGATAGTTTTGGGCATATTAAGCATTAACACTAGGCCAAGTCAGGAAGGATTATACGCAGGAATAGAAGAAAATATGATACAACATGTAGAGGAATTGGTATACTTTACATCAACTTTCTCAAAGGTTTTTCATGCAAAGTGCATCCATGTTGTTCTGTTCTGCATATCTGTTACTGAATTTTGCATGACCCAATTTAATTAAAATCGGAATTCTAAGATCCGCACCGTATAGACTCTTAGAGTGATCTAAGAAGTCTGATTTTACTTAGATTGTGCCTGACCAGATCAGTACAGATTTTGCCTCCTGAAGGACGATTATAAAGAGGTGATTAAAATTTTCAGAATAGATATTGACTGCCCTCTTCCCTCCTTAACCTTTCATATTTAAGGATAGACTCGATGACATTTATCATTGATAGCAATCTTAAAATCTAGACACTAATTAGATAAAATACCAACCAAAACACATCTTACAGGAAACATTTCAATGGCATTCCTTTGGTGTGTCTTTTTCTGTCTGTTCAGGTAAAGCTGAGGTAAAGATTTCCCAGACAAGTCTCCTTGATCAAACAAAACAGAATTTGGGCAGCAAACCCACCCTACATAAAACATTTCAATGCCTTTATTCTTATGCTAATATCATAGAATAGATAAAGCTCAACTCCTTTTTTAGGTAAGTAAGTAGTAAATTTAAACGATTAATGATGTACATGTTTTATTTCGAATTTCATGTACTTCTCCTTCTTGACACTTGAACCCATCTCTGTTTTTGGAGGTCTATTTTGGCTCTACTTACAATTAGTGTTGTTAAAATGGACTTTTTAGCAGTGATATACATGGATCTCTTCTATCAAATTGTATAAGTATTGCGCATATAATCATTTGAAACCTATGTGTGTTCAAAGAGTTTGTGTTTTCTGTAAAATAAATACAAGTACATGTAAACCAAACCAATGAATTTTTACTTAATTACACGTAATTTTTTACCATTATTCATTGATTCAATAGATTTGCTATATTTTTGTTTATTAGAGATCAATACATGACTTTTATATTACATGTATTAATATAGGTAGTTTTTGATAAATAATGTCACTATGCATTAATTTACTTATGCCATGCCAGTAACTCAGGAAAGACCAATAACAGAAATCTTGAATTGGGTAAAACATGTAAAAGGGATATTTATTTCATATTTAACAGAGAAAGTTATGAAACGGTTTATATGGAATTCTTTATCTTTTAAAATATATTTCTCCTATAGACAAAAACAAACATTAAATTGATTCAATAACAGAGATTATTTTGAAGAAAAATTTCAATAAATGAGATTTGCATTGTTTCACTGGAAAATGACTGAGACACCCTTAACAGTCATTTATAAATACATACATACATGTACGATTATACAGTTAATTATGCAATTATGAAGAGGCAGTACTTGTCAACGCAACAATTTTAGTCATAATACAAGATAAATTATCTCGTCATGTTGAGATACAAATGGCCGTATGAACCTTGGGGTGACGGGGGCGGGGGAGAGGGGGCGTGCCCCTCCCCAAATTATCTTGCCGATATATAGATTACTATAGTAAAAATAGATACTATATGCTTGTGTCCCCTCAATAAAAATGTCTGATGTCTTTTTTTTTTTTTTTTTGCTTGTCAGGAAATTTTTGGCAGTGCCCCCTCAACTGTCAACTGAAAATGTATGGCTGTGCCCCCCCCCCCAACTGAATTTACTTCCTACGGACCTGGTAGCTATTGCACGAAAATATGAAAGCTTATCTTGAGTAGACAAGATAGAAGTGTATCTTGACTATTTCTGAAATTATGACTATTTCCTAGCGCCCTAAAAAATTTTAAAAACATGTATTGAAGAAAATTAACATGCGTAGAATGAACGCAAAGATTGAGACATCATTACAGAAGGATGACAGAATCGTTTTAAGTGATTTTTTTCACCAATTTAGACTAGAACGGCATTTGAACAATATCAGAATAAACAGAAACATAAAAATACTCCCAAAGTAAACTCGTGGAATTTTTGCAGATGTACTTTAATTGAGATATATAGGCCTACTTTAAATACATTAAATATGTTATACTTCTTCAAATTAAAATGAAATTTGACAAAAATACAGTTTTCTTGTGACAGGTTAATGTCTAACGTAGTGTGGAATATGGACTTAAGTTAGTTTATGAAGTATAATTATTAACATACATGTACGAATCAATTTACATAGCAAGTATTTAACAGTCAAAGTCAACATAATCCATATTACTCTTCAGTATAAATCGTATGAACCATGAATTGTTTAAACAAAACGATATATATAACAATAGACTTGTATTTTGCCGCGAGTAAAATTTGAAGGCAGATCTTGAGAGTGTGACTAGAGAGTTTATGTTAATAATTATATAATGTTTTCCGTAGCATTTATTTTAGAAAAAATGCACTTTTATAGAGTTATCTTGGTAAAATCAAATCTTCGTATTTTTCCTGCTCATTTTCAATTTGCAACTCATCATACTCGAACCTGAAAAAAGAAAACAAGAAACAATATCACAATTTATTTGTATTTTCAAAGATATCATTAAAAGCAGGAAAAAGAAAAGAAAGCAGGGCATAAAAAATACGTTGTAATATTTAAGTTATTTGAAGTGCAATATTTTGCCTAGGGAAATGTTACATACATATCTGAAGCAGTTTGAAGCGTCGATTGTCCTCCTTTATTCATAATCTCACTTCTTAGAATATCATTTTCATAGAAACTGTGTATTTCAAATACAGTATTGCATTCTGATTTTCCATCAACCTTCCTAAAATAAAGAAAAATCATATATAATACAGCTATGAAATTTTGATTCGTTAAATGTTGTTTAATATTGACTAGAAAAATAAACTAAAATTACCGAGGTGGGGATGATTGCTGATTTTCAAATCAATATCAAACAAAAAATTCAACAAAGCTGAAGCTATAACATGAGATTTCTTCCTAAGATGAGTTTGGAAGAAAGTAAGGAATATCCAGGGATCATCTTTGTACACCTATTGATTTGGAGCTCAAATGAATCTTATAAACATTCTGAGTTTGGACGTATTAACATAACAAGACCTATGTGTACAGTGGGTCTTGTATATATATATATATATATATATATATATATATATATATATATATATATATATATATATATATATATATATATATATATATATATATATATATATATATATAATGAAAACAGGGTTCAGCGTATTTAAGGAGATGGGCGAACATAGCGTGCAGAAAGCCTATAGCTTCAGATATATAAAAATCATGTTCAGTTTGTGAATGTAGTATTTAGAGTAAAGTTCTCATTATTGAAATTTATGAAATTATGATAAACAAAACTTTTCTGAGGAAAATTTTCTCGGCAAAATTTATTCTTTTATTAAAAAAATTAATGTGGTATTCGTGGGGTTTGAACCCTAGCAATAAAAATCCTGAGTATTGTTTTCTTTCGAGACTAGCACGCTAACCACTAGACTACACAAGTCCTGATGAATAATGGCATTTAAATCATGTTCGTAATATGACCCTTGACTTAATGGACTTCAAGTATTTCTCGAAAAGATGCGAATGTTATGTCATAAAAGTATATTTTTAAGGTATAGTGGGTCATTGCTTCATATTTTTGGTAACCAAAAAAAGTTTTTAATTTTATGCAAACTTTGAGGATAAACTTTCAAAAAGGTGGAGCAAAGACCCACTCATATCGAAAAATAGTATTATAGTATGAGAAAATGACTCTTTTTGCCCGCTTTTGTATGTGTCTAATATTTCACAGGCGAAAAATTTCCATCTTTGAGGGATTTTTGCAAATTATAGAGATTTTACATAAAGTATATTTTAATGTTAGACGAAATATCAAGGAAAATTTTGATAAAATTGAAATTTAATTTTTCATCTTCATGTTTGTCACACTATAGGCTTATCGCTCGTCATGTTCACCAATCTCTTTTGTTTAATAGTTTTAAAAGGTAAAGGTTAACCAACGAGTATATAATTAAGCAAGCGAATGTACATGTATAAAAAAAACTTGATAGAATCGCAGCAATGGACAAAATGGCCCCCTATGACTGTGTAAATAACGTTGTGGGTAAATATAAGGATTTGAGTGGCCACATCTGGCCGCGTTACACAGGTGGCCGTTTAAAATATAGAGGAAAATCGTCGTCGGGAATTGAAAGTGACCACTGGTCGCGGGTGGTCATTGATTTCAAGTGCCCGCTAGAACACTTTTGACTGTAGTTACTTCCACTCACAAATTGAAAAGATATATCCCAGTGAGCTTGAAATGAAAGACATCACAGAGTCTAACACATATGTTTCATACTTGGATATTCTACTAGAAAAAGACGTCAATGGTATAGGTTAACAACAAAACATTATGATAATATATAAACATGATGACTTCACCTTTCTAATGTCAATTTCCATTATTTTTGTAGCAATATACAGTACCAACCAGACCCAACCTGACACAAAGCAGTCCCAGAGCAGTCCCGGGGACTGCTTTCTGGGACTGCTAAAGCAGTTCCACAGCAGTCCCAGAGTAGTCCCATAGCGGTCCCAGCGGTCTCAGAAAGCAGTCCAAGCAGTCCCAGAAAGCAGTCCCAGCAGTCCCAGTGGGCGGGGTTAATTAATTAAATGGGCGGAGCTTACTCAGAAATGAGATTACTAATAAACAATGTAACTATAAAAGGCAGTTGAAATTGATGATCATTTCTTTCTGAGTAATATCAGCAAATATTTACAATTCTTACACGACAGTCATTTCTGAGCTGTTAAGAAAATTACAGTACGCGTATAGAAATAAAAAAAATAATCATTGAACGAGGAAGACATTCACACCCATTAATAACATGAATATTTAAACACAATTATTTGGTATATTAATTTTTCATCAAAATAAATCAATGTCTTTATTTTCTGTGATTGATATTGGTTTTTGTATTTATTTTTTTTTTTTATAGAAAATTAAATTTGAATTGTTCATTTTCTACCAGAATTAGCTTTAAATAGATCTTATAATTATAGAGCAAGGCCAGTTCCCATATGCATGCATTTTGTTAAGTATTGGAGCTTTTGAAAATTTCTTTGATAAATTTTGCCGAGTATTATATTTCATTAATGATTATTTTCAATGACTTGCCAATTTAATTATTAGATCCTCAGTTTTAAGTGTTATATAAATGTTCAAGTGTACATCTGTAAATCACGCGAATGGAACCCTCAGATTATATTCAAAATTAATTAATCCCGAAAAAAATTTATACACAATTATTGAAACAAAGATTTTTTTGCAGTACATAGATTGAAATTAGTGTCATTGTTGACCAGCGTGTTCATTGATGTGTAACACTGATACCCAAGTAACATGCATTGACTTTCTGCTAATTATGCCCAAAGGCGAGTGAAACCTCAGGTGTTGACACCATTTTGTACCATATTGCATTGCTTTTTATTA